TTGATTATGAGTTCTTTGAGAATTTTGTGCATAAAGGCTATAGTAACCTCTGTATTGGTGTTGATTCTAGATAATACCTTCTGACTCTCATCTTGATTCACCAATGAATAAGCTTGTTTTACAGAAGGTAATATAGACATCAAGAGAATTTGACTACACACCATCGAGTATGAATCATTTAGTCCTATTAGTAATTGCAGTAACTTCTGTTGATTTAGATGATCAAGATAAGCCCTAGCAGATGCACTATCTGGAGGTGGTAAGCAAAATAGAGAATTTAGCTCATCCTAGAGCGATTTTAGTTTATTGTAATAAATCGCTACTGTAGATGTTCCTTGAGTGAGATTAGCTATCTCCTGGTGAATCCCATAGACTCTTCTATTCACCTTATGATACTGTTCTTGTAAATCTTTCCATACCTGATAAGCACTAGTTGAGTAGACGATTCCATTGAAAATCTCTTTCGATACCGTGTTGAAAATCCAAGCTAATACCAAGGAATTACTTCTCTCCCATTGAGCCTTCAAAGTAGAATAAGATAAAGGCTTTTCACATGTTCCATCAACAAACCTTAACTTGTTCTTTGCTCACAAAGAAACAGTCATTGCTCGGCTCCATATACCATAATTTTCTGTGCCAATTAGTTGTTCCGTCACTAATACAAAACCAGGCGTATCCAATGGATGAATATAGAGAGGTGAATTGGAATCAATTGCACTCACTACTGGTTCACGGTTTGAACTTCCCATTTTAAAGATCAGCTCACAAATTGACGATTTCAAGCTAAAAGAAAAAGGAAACTTTGAAGATAGATTTCAGATGAACTGATAACAAAGCTCAAAAGCTTTAATTGATCAAGAATGAGAAAATTGGAAGCTATCGCTCTGATACCATGTTAGAGGACAAAGAACAGAGGAGTAAAGAAGAGAAACTTGAAGCTGTATTATTTCATTATCAGTCACAGTTTACAAGTAAAGGATCGAAGTCCTTTTAACTAAACAATACAACTAACTTTAGCAACTAACCATGATTAAAGACAACTAATTAACTATAGTCAATGTAACTACTCTAGTTTACTATAACAAACTAAAATATAAACAAACTAAACTAAGTTAACTGTAGCTACAATCTGTTACTATAACTATTATTCTCCAATAGTACCAATATGTACAATGATACCATCGGTCAAATGTCATCTTCCAATTGGAATTAGAATAATCAATTTTCTTTTAAGCAAAATTTTAGACAGGTAAAACTCAATACCAATACCTTATGCTAGCTTTAGATGAACAATAAAGTAAAAATACGAAAAACAAGCTTCCCCCGTGATAGTTAAGAAATGTGGAGGAAAAAGAAACAAAAAGGCTAGTAGGATGAGGAAACAAAGATTAAAATAGGTGACATCCACCCTTATATCATTAATTTTTTTATTGGAATTGACATAATGAACATAAGAATCAACAGGTAAAAGAATGTTATGTTGGTATCATACTGATGAGAGAAACAAAAGGAAGTAACATATAGAGGACAACTAGACACTGAAATTTTACAATAAATTCCTCCAAGACAGTAAGAAATCAGAGTTCAAATTGCATAATTAGTTAAATACTATTAGAAATACTCAAAATATGAATTGACTCTATAAAAAATGTTGGTGGCAAAAGAGATAAGAGTGGCTACATAATCTCACTGAAAACGCAAGGATTATGATGGAACACTCCTTATTAATGGATAATAGAAATGCGCCAAGGTTTTGTACCAGTAGAGCAGCATCCAAAGATTGAATACTTAAAACTGCAAAGAGTAATGCTATACTTACATAACTATTTTACACAATTTTCATTACATCATGATGTGGCATATGTCATAACCACACAAATTAAATTTTTAATATTATAATAAAATTTGTATGGTTGTAACATATGCCACATCATGATGTTTACAAAATGGTGTAAAAAAATGATGTAAGTATAGCATTACTCAACTACAAAAAGCTTCCCCAAGGAAAGGAGGCCAAGAGTCCAAGACCCAATAATCTATCTCTCAATAGTTATTAATATTTTTTAATGTCTTTTTTTACTTTTAGGTTATATAATAAAATAGATTTACATTTATACCCTTTATAAAATTAAATTAAAAGGTTAGATACTTTTTGTTATGTGTCCTATTTTTGTCTTTTAACAAACTTTTTATCCCTTTTTAATTGTTTTTACAAACATTTTGATTTTCTCTCTTATCCCAATGATCATTTTGTTGGCTCACTCAAGTATTTTAAATAATAATGATTGATAATATAATGTTTAAATTAAATTAAACTTATTAATAGATCAATATTTATTTATTACCAAAGTAGTGTATACAAATATTATAGTTTGAAAATGTAAATTATATACAAAGGGTAATGATACCGTCATTGAAATAGGGTACTAAATTCATGCACCGAATGATATGACAAAATCCTGACCATTGATTAATTTTATAAGGCATATTTTATTTTGATATTCTAAATCCCTAATCCAATTTCAATTCCCATTGCTGCCGGTGAGCTTCTTTGTCCAACCGTCGGTGAGCTTCGTGGTCCAATCGCTGGTCACCTTTTGGATCTGCCGTGGAATGGTGAATTCTCTTTCCTTTTCCCCTTTGCCTGGTAATGGGGACTATGCGGCGTGACAAATTTCTGATTTAGCTCCAAAAGCAGTTTTATAGTGTGAGAGAAAATGCATATATATGCGCTGATGTTTCTGGTGCGAGATTGATTGTTTTTAGGTAACAAAATTCTCATCTGTTATCTGTTTATCATTGACATTGAATTTATTGTAGTTTTGATTACTTGTGTTGCTTAAATTAATCAACAACTGGAATTAAAATTCAACAACTCTGATCTATAGCTTTTGCACCCTTAAGTGTCAAAAGATCACTGAACTTTGCAGGTGATCTTGTGTCGTGCTAGTTTTCTGTACCTTTTAGGAAATTGTTTTCTCCTTGCTTTCGTCTGTTTCCTTTCTGCCAGTGTTGTGGGTTTAATACAAGTTATATCATTCTCAGTGTAGCATGCAATTGTAACCATAGTCCCAATTTTTACACTTTCGATTTCCATATTCATGGTGCTAAAGGTTTCATCTGTTGTTTGATTCACATTGTTCAAAGTTACTGCCATACCTATTCAGACTATGCTTAAATTCTCTTATACACGTTCTGTGTGCTTGCACTCTCCTTTTTGCTTATATATACATACACACAGGGTTCAATATGATTCTCAATAATCTTATTTACATATCACTTTAATGGTCTTGCTTAACGCTAAACTGCCGATTATGGCAAAGTGTGCTTAACTTTTACCTAAAAAAAGAGAGATTTAACAGTCAGTTCATTTTTTGTTTGTTTGTTTCTAGTTTTTTTTTCTCCTATTGTTTATCATCCACATTAATTGTTGTTGAATCAATTATTATTGTTGTTGATTGGAGGTGGGAACCAATTAATATGCCAACTAGAAGGGTGGATGTATAGATAAATACTATATAATACATCCAGTTTTTTTTTTTTTCTTTTGTTATGTTGGTACAATGAAATGAATGGTTCATTGTGTTTAGCTTAAAAAAACTGAAAGAAAATGAATAAATAGGTCAGCTGTGAAAAGGTTAATGTTCTATGGTCTCTCAAAATTAAATAGATTTAGAAGTTCTCTTCTTTAGGAATACCCTCCTCTGTGTTTTTGCAAAGGACACTGCTAAAATAGTCTCTAAAACATAGGTTAAGAAAAGTGATACTCAGGGCATACAAAACAGAGGTAAAAGCATACAATTCCTTGCATTATTGAGTTAAATATGATGATGTGAGTACCTATTCTCGTAATGGTTAATAAATCCTGGCTGGAAAGATTTCTCTATTCCTCTACCAACTGCTAGGCAATGAATGGTTATAGTCCATTTGGTAAAAACACAGCTATAACATGAAACTTCTTTCAAGTAATTACTGCATGTATCAATTTCATATGCAATTTAGGTTAATTAAAAATGATAACAGTTTAAATGAATAAAAGACTTCAACTTATATGTAACTGTTCTGCTATTTTTTTACCTTGAGCTTGTGCTTTCACAAACCAAACTGAAACTGAATTTCTAGTTTCACCAGTTTTCCAACCCAAGCACATAATCCTCCACCTGTTCGTAAAACATAAGCACCTTAAAAGAGTGTTTCAAGATTTATGCTTTCTGAAAGTTGACTGATCCTCTGCTTTTATCTAAATTATGTATTTATAATAAATAATAAATAACTCTTAAAAATTATTTTGTTTACGTTTATCCATCTAATGTATTTATAATAAATAATAAACAACAACATTACCTGCATGATCAAAAAGCTGGCCTCACCTGAACTTCTGCAGTTCGCACGCCAAAAGAAAATCCATAGTGATCTCCAGAAATGGGAAAAAATATTGGTTATGATTCGTGCTGTGCTTGATGATGCTGAGGAGAAGCAGCTGACGAACAGGTTAGTGAAGATCTGGCTTAGCGAGCTTATGAAGTGGAAGACATATTGGACGACTTTGCAACTGAAGCTTTGCGGGTAAAGTTGTTACCCCAAGCCAGCACAAGTAAGGTACACAAGCTCATCCCTACTTGCTGCATCAGTTTGAATTCACCATTTTATTAGTGTAATACTACTGATATGGTATATAAGGTAAGAATATGTATCAAAATAGCAGAAAAGAGTCTACGATGTAATCGATTGTACCATAAGTTAATGTATGCATATTATATAGGTTATTTTTAGGTTAAAAACCTCCATTACATGAATAATGTATGCATATTATTGACTTATATATATAATGAAGTATCATTTAGTAAAACTATATTATTTATGCACATTTTAAGTGAACAAATAAACATATTTTGTTTATAGTATCTGATACCATGAAGAACTTCACAGATACAAGAAAGCAAAAGTAATCAGAGAGAGAGAGAGAGACCGCAAAAATATTTGGGAATTTTATTAACTGACATTAGAATAGGCGGGCTACTGTTTTGTATAGTTGTTACTTGTTAAACGGACAAAACGCACCCTTTTTTTACAAGTCTTTCTAATTCTTACACTTAAACCCAAGTAGCTTATATGTTCAATATTTCCCCTTAAAACAAAACATGTCTTCAATTAACAGACTTTACTCTGCTCTCTGCCTTTGTCATACTACAAGAACTCTGTTCTTTTTATGACCATATTCTTTTACTACAGACTATTACTTCAATAACACCAACACTAAATCAATATCAACACAACAACATTAACATCACTTCTCATCATTCTGCACTGCATATTAATCAACCCCACAACAATTACTCAGAGTCAGCCTTCATCAGCACCAACAATACTTCACCTAAACAAAATCAACATCAACATCACTTCACATAAAAATCTGCACTACAACATCAACATTGCTTCACATAATTCCTTTAAACTAACTAATTAATCAGCAGCAACGACTCAGAATCAACTTCACTAGCACCAACACCACATAAGCAACATCACTAGTAGCAATTATTTATTCGGGTAACTCAGCAGTGACATTCAGTTCTTCACTCAAGAAAACAAACCTGTTACCAGGAAGTGCTTTGGTCAAATTAAAATTAAAAATGGTGTGTTTAAAGCTTCAGAAAAGGCTGGCTGCAAGAGTTCTCTCAAGTGTGGTAAGAGGAGAGTGTGGCATTATCCTAATGAGGCCAATCACATCTCCTTATCTGTTTCCAGTAAGTCTTAACTGTTTTATATATACATCATAACACTTGTTATATTTTAGGTTTGATGCTAAATGAAAACGTGCACTTGCAGGAATGGACATAAGAAGGCTGGCTGGTAAAGGATGGATTGATAGTGAAAAAGCCTAGCACAATCCACTCAAGATCAACAACAAAGCTTTAGCTGGACTACAACAGTTTTGATAGGGACTGACCTAAAACAACACGAGATTCTCGCACAATCAATTAGAAAATGAAAAATCTAACACTACAACTCAAGCAAAATCATACCATGGAGACTGTTCGGCTGCTTGTTGATTGGCAAAGTGCACTCGGTCCCATCTACAGTAAATTTACCCACTTTGATTCGATTTGCGACCCGACCCACAATGCACCCAAAAAAAGGTGCTGCACCATTCTGTTGTAGTCCAGCTAACACCATAATTCATCATAGGCAGAATGCAGATGAAACAAGAACTTGAACTCCCAAAAAAATAAAAAATGAAAAAAAAATCTATAAAATCTCAAGAACCAAAGTTGCTTATTCATCTCACAAAAACAAAGTGCATATATATTATAACTTTTATCCTTACAATTACCAACATGAACGTATCTCCAAATTTCATGGACATACCCAAAACTTTGGCATAGTTAAAACCGCACCCTTGGATGGAAAAATCGCATAATGAAAAAAAATTGTCAAAGGGTTTACAATCCATAAACAATCTAACAACGTACCCAGAATCAGAATTTTCGTCCAATCATAACAAAGATGACAAAATATCAAATGGGGTTGAGAAAAGATAGAAATTTTACCACATATGGTTCAATAGAATTGAATCCAAGAACAACATTGTTAGATAAATTGTATTAAATGCAATCCAACCTAATTAAGGATTAGATGAAATTCAATTTTTAACTTTAATTAGTTTCCACACAATATTCTTATTAAGTTCCTAGTACAAAATTGGGATACAAAACTATAAAAAGTTCATCTAATCATAAATAATCCTAAACTATCAAGTGTCATCTTTGCCTCATGACAGTATACTCTCATAATATCCAGAACTAACTGCAAAGAGTTTAAAATAACTAGAGGAAGCAGAATTCAGGTGAGAAACAACAAATTGAAATAAGCAAAAAAAACTTACAAATAATATAAAGGATTAAATGCGTGAAGATTTATGATCAAAGGATGCTATATAGAAAATAGAAAGAGAAAATACTATCACTTGTAGTATAAATTTACAGACATTCACAGCATTGAAGATGGTTTTTATAGTCAAGTACAGCAATATTCATCATGTCAGCCTCTTGTTGACTTTTGCGGAGGAAATTGAGGAAGCAACTTCAAAAGTTCTTTATCCTTTGACAGTAAATCCACAACTACGGAAAATGTGATACCATTTGGTATCACATTTCTGTCCTTCATTTTGTGAAGAAGTTCAACCACTTTAGCTGCCTCATTATTTTGCAAAAAACCTCGCATAAGAGTATTGAATGTAAAGACATTTGGAGCACAACCCTTTTTTTCCATATCAAATAACAAATCATATGCCTTTCGTAGTTTTCCCTCTTTACAAAACCCATTGATTAAGATGGTATATGTCATAACGTCTGGCATTAGGCCTTTTTGAGGCAATTTGTCAAATATCTCCCAAGCAATTTCGATCATTCCATTTTTACACAACCCATCAATGAGGCTGCTATAGATTTCAATACTAAGTTTAAACTCATAGTACTCCAAAGTACGAAACCATTTTGCTGCCTCCAGAACACGGCCATTCTTGCATAGCCCATCAATCAAAATATTATATGTAAATGAATCAGGTGCGACATTATAAATTTTCATCTCAGCAAATAGTTTCTGTGCAGCTCCAACCTTATTTGATAGAAAAAGACCAGTCAACAAAGCGTTGAATGTAAATACTGCCGGTCTAATTCCCTTTGAAATCATTTCCCTGAAAAGACTCATAGCATTCTCTAATTTCCTATTCTTGCCATAGGCATTGATCAAAGTACTATAACTGACAACGTTAGGCTTACAGCCCTTAGTCTCCATAGAGATTAGCAGCTCCCTTGCATCATCAAATCTATGCAGCAAGCAATAACCATCCATCAAAGTACTATAAATAAATATGTCTGGTTGCAAACCTCTTTGGATCATCAATTCTAACAATCCATTAGCTTCCTCTATCTTTCCCTCCTTGCAAAACCCACTTATAATTGTATTATATGTTAGCACATTAGGCTGCAAACCTTGATCCGCCATCTCAGTAAACAAACTCACAGCCTCCTCCAAATTTCCCACAAAACACAAACCGTAAATTAGAGAGGTACAAACTACCACATTTGGCTTAATTCCTCTACTCTTCATTTCCAAAAAAACTTCTTTGGCCCTATCAACCAACCCATCTTTGCAAACACCATCGATAATACTACCATAAGAAACAATATTAGGCTTAACCCCAAACACAGCCATTTTTTTGAACAACCTCATAGCGTCCAAACTCCTATTCTCCAAACACAAACCTTTAATCAAAAGATTAAAAGTCCCAGCATCTGGGTAAAAACCCCACCTCAAAATCCTCCCAAAAACAACAAAACCATCACAAACTCGACCCACATTACAATAGCAATTAATCAAAATATTCAAAGTAAAAAGATCCGGCAACAACCCAATTGAACACACTCGCTTGTAAAGCGAAATGACGTCTTCATAAAACTTCTTCTTAGCAAGAGCTCCAAACAACCGGTTGAATGATAAAATTGGTGGTTTGGGTTGCATATGAATCATTAAACGAAAGAAATAGCGTGCTTCATCAAGAGTGATATTACCTTGTTTACAATTTTTTTGGAGGAATTGATCAAGCCTCGCTACCTCTTCAACGTTATGTACTGAATCTGGTGGTATAGTTGTAGTCACTTTACCCGGTTTTGTGAACAAAGATGCGATTTTGGTTTTCGTAACCGTTTCAGAAGAAGAAGAACAACGACGAAGTAAGTTTTTGGAGGCCATTTGAGTAGCGCTGTTTGTGGATGATCTCGGGTTCGAACTGGCATAGTCTTTTGTAGGTTTACATATAAATAATACAGTCTCATCGGAAATGATTGAGATTTGAGAGTGGGATAAAATGTATTTATGTGAAACCTGTAGGGTTCAGATATGATTATCCAGACACCGAGGGCATCTTAAAAGAAACAAAATTATAATAAAATTTTAGGCTATCACTCCCTGTCTCATTCTTTCTTTAATATAATCATCTTATTTTGAAAGCACATTTGCTTTATTTTATTACAACTTTGTCCATCTTCTTTACCGACCAAACTTCCAAGTAGTATTGTCCTAAATACAACTTTCACCCTCGTCGAAAAGTATCGTAGAGACTACATAACCTCCAAAATTCAATGACCAAATTTTAATGAAAGAAACATATTAATAATTTAAGAAACATATTAATGACCAAAATTCAATTAAAAATGGTGTCCGTTACTTAAACAGTGAACTTAGCATTACGCTTTGGCATAAGGTTTTCGAGATGCGAATCCATTGGATTAAACTGCAATGTGAATCGATGTCGAAATCTATGTCCTCATGGACCGGACGCTATTAGAGACTGGTGCAAACGGCCCTTGGTCTTATACATGAATCAGATTTTGCAAGATGGGAATCTATTGGATTAAACTACAATAATTTGGTGAAACTGCATGTGAATCGAGGTCGGAATCTATGTCCTGGTGGACTGGACGCTATTAGAGACGGGTGCAGATGGCCCTTGGTCTTATACATGAATCAGATTTTGCAAGATGGGAATCTATTGGATTAAACTACAATAATTTGGTGAAACTGCATGTGAATCGAGGTCGGAATCTATGTCCTGGTGGACTGGACGCTATTAGAGACGGGTGCAGATGGCCCTTGGTCTTATACATGAATCAGATTTTGCAAGATGGGAATCTATTGGATTAAACTACAATAATTTGGTGAAACTGCATGTGAATCGAGGTCGGAATCTATGTCCTGGTGGACTGGACGCTATTAGAGACGGGTGCAGATGGCCCTTGGTCTTATACATGAATCAGATTTTGCAAGATGGGAATCTATTGGATTAAACTACAATAATTTGGTGAAACTGCATGTGAATCGAGGTCGGAATCTATGTCCTGGTGGACTGGACGCTATTAGAGACGGGTGCAGATGGCCCTTGGTCTTATACATGAATCAGATTTTGCAAGATGGGAATCTATTGGATTAAACTACAATAATTTGGTGAAACTGCATGTGAATCGAGGTCGGAATCTATGTCCTGGTGGACTGGACGCTATTAGAGACGGGTGCAGATGGCCCTTGGTCTTATACATGAATCAGATTTTGCAAGATGGGAATCTATTGGATTAAACTACAATAATTTGGTGAAACTGCATGTGAATCGAGGTCGGAATCTATGTCCTGGTGGACTGGACGCTATTAGAGACGGGTGCAGATGGCCCTTGGTCTTATACATGAATCAGATTTTGCAAGATGGGAATCTATTGGATTAAACTACAATAATTTGGTGAAACTGCATGTGAATCGAGGTCGGAATCTATGTCCTGGTGGACTGGACGCTATTAGAGACGGGTGCAGATGGCCCTTGGTCTTATACATGAATCAGATTTTGCAAGATGGGAATCTATTGGATTAAACTACAATAATTTGGTGAAACTGCATGTGAATCGAGGTCGGAATCTATGTCCTGGTGGACTGGACGCTATTAGAGACGGGTGCAGATGGCCCTTGGTCTTATACATGAATCAGATTTTGCAAGATGGGAATCTATTGGATTAAACTACAATAATTTGGTGAAACTGCATGTGAATCGAGGTCGGAATCTATGTCCTGGTGGACTGGACGCTATTAGAGACGGGTGCAGATGGCCCTTGGTCTTATACATGAATCAGATTTTGCAAGATGGGAATCTATTGGATTAAACTACAATAATTTGGTGAAACTGCATGTGAATCGAGGTCGGAATCTATGTCCTGGTGGACTGGACGCTATTAGAGACGGGTGCAGATGGCCCTTGGTCTTATACATGAATCAGATTTTGCAAGATGGGAATCTATTGGATTAAACTACAATAATTTGGTGAAACTGCATGTGAATCGAGGTCGGAATCTATGTCCTGGTGGACTGGACGCTATTAGAGACGGGTGCAGATGGCCCTTGGTCTTATACATGAATCAGATTTTGCAAGATGGGAATCTATTGGATTAAACTACAATAATTTGGTGAAACTGCATGTGAATCGAGGTCGGAATCTATGTCCTGGTGGACTGGACGCTATTAGAGACGGGTGCAGATGGCCCTTGGTCTTATACATGAATCAGATTTTGCAAGATGGGAATCTATTGGATTAAACTACAATAATTTGGTGAAACTGCATGTGAATCGAGGTCGGAATCTATGTCCTGGTGGACTGGACGCTATTAGAGACGGGTGCAGATGGCCCTTGGTCTTATACATGAATCAGATTTTGCAAGATGGGAATCTATTGGATTAAACTACAATAATTTGGTGAAACTGCATGTGAATCGAGGTCGGAATCTATGTCCTGGTGGACTGGACGCTATTAGAGACGGGTGCAGATGGCCCTTGGTCTTATACATGAATCAGATTTTGCAAGATGGGAATCTATTGGATTAAACTACAATAATTTGGTGAAACTGCATGTGAATCGAGGTCGGAATCTATGTCCTGGTGGACTGGACGCTATTAGAGACGGGTGCAGATGGCCCTTGGTCTTATACATGAATCAGATTTTGCAAGATGGGAATCTATTGGATTAAACTACAATAATTTGGTGAAACTGCATGTGAATCGAGGTCGGAATCTATGTCCTGGTGGACTGGACGCTATTAGAGACGGGTGCAGATGGCCCTTGGTCTTATACATGAATCAGATTTTGCAAGATGGGAATCTATTGGATTAAACTACAATAATTTGGTGAAACTGCATGTGAATCGAGGTCGGAATCTATGTCCTGGTGGACTGGACGCTATTAGAGACGGGTGCAGATGGCCCTTGGTCTTATACATGAATCAGATTTTGCAAGATGGGAATCTATTGGATTAAACTACAATAATTTGGTGAAACTGCATGTGAATCGAGGTCGGAATCTATGTCCTGGTGGACTGGACGCTATTAGAGACGGGTGCAGATGGCCCTTGGTCTTATACATGAATCAGATTTTGCAAGATGGGAATCTATTGGATTAAACTACAATAATTTGGTGAAACTGCATGTGAATCGAGGTCGGAATCTATGTCCTGGTGGACTGGACGCTATTAGAGACGGGTGCAGATGGCCCTTGGTCTTATACATGAATCAGATTTTGCAAGATGGGAATCTATTGGATTAAACTACAATAATTTGGTGAAACTGCATGTGAATCGAGGTCGGAATCTATGTCCTGGTGGACTGGACGCTATTAGAGACGGGTGCAGATGGCCCTTGGTCTTATACATGAATCAGATTTTGCAAGATGGGAATCTATTGGATTAAACTACAATAATTTGGTGAAACTGCATGTGAATCGAGGTCGGAATCTATGTCCTGGTGGACTGGACGCTATTAGAGACGGGTGCAGATGGCCCTTGGTCTTATACATGAATCAGATTTTGCAAGATGGGAATCTATTGGATTAAACTACAATAATTTGGTGAAACTGCATGTGAATCGAGGTCGGAATCTATGTCCTGGTGGACTGGACGCTATTAGAGACGGGTGCAGATGGCCCTTGGTCTTATACATGAATCAGATTTTGCAAGATGGGAATCTATTGGATTAAACTACAATAATTTGGTGAAACTGCATGTGAATCGAGGTCGGAATCTATGTCCTGGTGGACTGGACGCTATTAGAGACGGGTGCAGATGGCCCTTGGTCTTATACATGAATCAGATTTTGCAAGATGGGAATCTATTGGATTAAACTACAATAATTTGGTGAAACTGCATGTGAATCGAGGTCGGAATCTATGTCCTGGTGGACTGGACGCTATTAGAGACGGGTGCAGATGGCCCTTGGTCTTATACATGAATCAGATTTTGCAAGATGGGAATCTATTGGATTAAACTACAATAATTTGGTGAAACTGCATGTGAATCGAGGTCGGAATCTATGTCCTGGTGGACTGGACGCTATTAGAGACGGGTGCAGATGGCCCTTGGTCTTATACATGAATCAGATTTTGCAAGATGGGAATCTATTGGATTAAACTACAATAATTTGGTGAAACTGCATGTGAATCGAGGTCGGAATCTATGTCCTGGTGGACTGGACGCTATTAGAGACGGGTGCAGATGGCCCTTGGTCTTATACATGAATCAGATTTTGCAAGATGGGAATCTATTGGATTAAACTACAATAATTTGGTGAAACTGCATGTGAATCGAGGTCGGAATCTATGTCCTGGTGGACTGGACGCTATTAGAGACGGGTGCAGATGGCCCTTGGTCTTATACATGAATCAGATTTTGCAAGATGGGAATCTATTGGATTAAACTACAATAATTTGGTGAAACTGCATGTGAATCGAGGTCGGAATCTATGTCCTGGTGGACTGGACGCTATTAGAGACGGGTGCAGATGGCCCTTGGTCTTATACATGAATCAGATTTTGCAAGATGGGAATCTATTGGATTAAACTACAATAATTTGGTGAAACTGCATGTGAATCGAGGTCGGAATCTATGTCCTGGTGGACTGGACGCTATTAGAGACGGGTGCAGATGGCCCTTGGTCTTATACATGAATCAGATTTTGCAAGATGGGAATCTATTGGATTAAACTACAATAATTTGGTGAAACTGCATGTGAATCGAGGTCGGAATCTATGTCCTGGTGGACTGGACGCTATTAGAGACGGGTGCAGATGGCCCTTGGTCTTATACATGAATCAGATTTTGCAAGATGGGAATCTATTGGATTAAACTACAATAATTTGGTGAAACTGCATGTGAATCGAGGTCGGAATCTATGTCCTGGTGGACTGGACGCTATTAGAGACGGGTGCAGATGGCCCTTGGTCTTATACATGAATCAGATTTTGCAAGATGGGAATCTATTGGATTAAACTACAAT